AATTTACTTGAATTCTAGTGCTTTTTTGAATAGACACCTGATTTGGTTGGATCATCTACTGAAGAGATGAAAAAATTGATATCAACTATGGTGGAGTTTCACAGTCAGTTTATAAACCATAAGAATATGCTAAGAAGTATGCTGACAGTGTCGATCGAGAAGTAATTTCACAGGCAGCTGCTTCAACACTACGGCTATTCTGTCACAAACTTTTATCAACCTCATTCAACAGCTATGTGAAGACGCCACATGTCACGTGATCCACAATGGAAAGCTCAGTGACACATTTGAAGTGAAGATAGGAAACAGAAGTAAGACAAAGTTGCCACCTACTATCACCCATGATTTTCCTGATTGTGGTCGACTGGATCATGCAGAAAAGCGTGAGGAGTGAGCAGATGAGTATACGCTGTGTTAACCGATAAAAAGACCGCAGAGGAAGATTTGGATTTTGCCGCCGATGATGATTGATGTTTAATGTCTTGTCGCACAAACTCGAAGATGTACAGGTGGAAACTAACAAGTTGACAGAAGAGGTGAGGCAGCGAATTCGGGACTTCAAGTGAACGTAGACAAGACGTAGGTAGAGGTGATGAAGATGCCCAGTCAACAGCAACACCAGCAACAGGAGTCACCAATCACGATGAAGGAGAGAAACCTAAGGGAAGCAGTCTCTTTCATCTACCCATCTACCTACCGAGGCAAGGCAACATCGTTTCAACTACAGGTGGAGCCAGAGGCACAGATGATGATTTGAAAACAGACAGGATCGGAAATGACAACAAGATAGGCTTTCATTAACCTGAAATAATCAATGTGGAGATCTATTCCACTGCACTCCACTCAGCATAAAGTGTGAACGAGATCCACATTTTCAACACCAATTCAGTCAAGTCAGTGCTTCTATGTGATGGTTGAGAGACTTGACGCATCACGGAAAGCACTTCCAAGAAACAACTGCAAACATTCATCAACAGCTGCCACCAACGCTCACTCGACATTGATACTGAAGATCAGATAGATGGCCAGAAATAATAAGAATAAGCAACAAGGAATTCACTGTGGCTGGCTGCCAACGAACCAACTAAGAAGCTATCAGTGAATAAATGTTCAGTGGAAGAGAGTGGAGATGGACTGGATTGGATTGGATTGGATATACACTGAGAAGACGGATTGTGGACATCACGCGCTATGTCTGGCCAGGTCGTTGAGTGTAATCCAAATGGGAAACGACGATTTGGGCATCTGAGGCGAGGATGATATGGAGGAGATCATGTGAGGAATAAATGAGAGGTTGTTGGGAGTTGTGGAGTGAGGTAGGAAAGACTGTATAGAAGGGAGTGAAATGGAGGCATGCTACTGAAGCTGTGTGTTCCACTAGGAACCCACGGAAAAAAAATTAGTAATAAGGCGTATGCTAACTGGGGATCATCGTGATAGTCTAGAAGGTCTCATCAAGAAAACGAGAACATCATCATCAGTAGATTTGATACGGCTATGTAGTCGTAATTTGGGACAGATGATTAAGTTAGCAAAAGGGATTCTATATTACAGAACAAAAGCGATGTACGTATGCTTCTGCTTTTACTCCTTTATAAATATCTGTGCAGTAATTCAATTCTGAAACTATTCAGCAGCGTTTATCAATCAATTCATGTTACTTATGAGAGTGAAATTAGTAATTCCGTAAATATTTTCTTCACATACTAATGACAAGAAAAGATGACTCTTTAAAGGATAGTATATACCGAAGAATATAGCATGATGTTCACACTTTCTGTGCTTCATACTACTGAAGTACAAACGCAAAATACTCAGATGCTTGGCATATGGAATGAGAACAGTTTTCTTCATAGGGTATAAAAATAAAGTAGTATTACGTATCCTTAATATTCTAATTGAAAACGGATATCCTAAAAGGTTCAGCAAAGTAAGTAAATATTGTTTACATTAATCTATAACATGAAGTGATTACAGTTGAGAAGCAACTTGTTTTTCTACGTTTGCCATTCAAGAGAAACACACCCAGTGACATTCTGTCACAACGCCAATTTAGAGGAGTGAATTTAGCGTTTTGTTCAGATCATCTGAGCATGAGTTTAAGCAGTTGTTCAATGCTCAATCCAAGACGAAAAGATACTCCACCTAATCTTGGCTCATCATTTTGCATACATCGACTTAACCAGTCCTGTGGAACAAGTCACACAGCATGTACGAACAGGCAAATGTATCTCCGAACATTAGAAGTCTTGACCAGTGGAGCCAACCAAGTCGAACATGAGGATAGTTACTTAACGACAGCATCGGATCGAGGTTACGCTATATCGTGAAGTGATGGAAGCGGGAAATACGCACCAGTGAACTCAAAGGTCAAGGGTTAGATCGCTGGAGGGTAAGGTCATGGTTGCGCAATGCTGAAGAGTACCAGCTGTTCAGTGCTCCCAGGTTTCCAATATTTATCCAACTGATATCAGTTCATATTAAATATCAACTTAAAATCAACAAATACACCACCACAAATCTTCAGATTTAATCTATTTTATAGCTGTAGAAGCTGATGAGAATTTATTGCAAAGAATATTTTGCTTTCAAGTTATCTTTTAGTCAATTAATGCCTTTTCAATCATATTCAGTTTAGTACATCTAGTTTGGATATAATTAGTTAATTATTCATACTGTAACAAAGTGTTATGCAGTTTTGGGCTTTTGAGAAAACAATAGCATAAGTTTAATATATGTTGTTATTGGTGTTTCAATTGATATAAATGTTCAATTTCCAATCAATTCATTATTGCGTAAATAATGATATGCACATACATACAGAGAAGGAGTGGCATACTGCTAAATATATGGCATATACAGAGGTATATACATGTATGACAGTAAACACTCAAGCAAATGACACAACACTAATACAGTGAGAACTACCTCACGATATAACTCCTGTGTTATTGTCATATAAGCAGACGGTTGAGGTACCAAGCCTGTATGCAATGTCTATAAGATTTATATAAATGGGAGGGGTTAGACACGATTACATAGATTTATTAATTACTGGGTGATAATTTATAGTGAGATGGAAATTTGCACCGTGGCTGGGTTCGAACCAGAGACCTCTTGGTCCTGGACCTTGTGCTTTATCAGTTGAGCCAGGAACCAGGTATGCAAAGTTCTGGATGAATGGATAGTAATGCATCATGAATTCACATGGTAGTCGGGTGAAACCATTGGTGATTGAAATAAAATTAAGATTTGATCGACAGCTAGGCCTCATAGCCTGATTAGCAGATCATTGGGCAGAAAACCAGAATGTCGCTAGTTCGAATCTTGCTGCTGCTCAGATTTTTATTTCACCTTTAATCATTACCGAGTGCCAATAAAAGTCTGCCAAACCACCGATATCTTCGTTAATCAAACTGTTAGTCTTTGGAGGAAATGGGATATTCTTCTCTAAAAATAACTAATCTGTGATATTTCAAGTCGTTATTTATCGTAGACTGACATCAGTTGGAGGAACAAAGGAAATCTGGGAGCACTGGACAGCTCTTTCGTCCTAGTATGGGACTCCTCAGCAGTGCACACCCACGATCCCGCCCTCCAGGGGTCAAACCCGTGACCTCCAGGTTCCGCGGCTAGCACGCTGGAAATATGGACCACTGGATTCTGACCCAGTGGCTCAATGATAACGCGCTGGCCGCGGAACCTGAAGGTGGCGGGTTTGACCCGTGGAGGGCGGGATCGTGGGTGCGCACTGCTAAGGAGTCCCATACTAGAATGTAACAGCTGTCCAGTGCTCCCAGATTTCCTTTGTTCCTCCAACCGATGTCAGTCTACGTTGAATAACAACTTGAAATATTTTGAAATCTCCACAACTCCCTCAAAATTTAATCTGTGATAATTAGGAATACGCTTGGGTTAGGGATAGCTTGAAACAATACAACATGAAAACTACACAATGGTTTTATTCTTTTTAAGACATAGTATTCAAGTGACATGGGTATGATACGTCAAACAGATTTGTACACAACGTCAAGAGGTTTTAAGAAAAGACTAATGATGAAAATCAACCAATTTAAAATAAGGAATTAGTGAGTAGTGTCAGTTATATCATGACAGGTGATAGCCAAACAAAGTATTCAAATTCTGGGAGTTGAATAAAACAATTACAACGAATAAATTAACTGACTAGTGATCCATAAGAAGCTACTTTCAAAATGATAGTCATAACTTCAGTTAAACAAAGACAATCAGCCGATCAGCTCAGCAGGCTGTTTAGACTATTATTATTATTATTATTATTTATTTATCCCTTGGGTTCCTAGTGGAATATATACGGCTTCAGTAGCACACCTCCACTGCACTCTGTTCTCTGCGATCTTTTCAACCTGGCCCCACCACTCCCAACAAACTCTTATTTATTCCTCACATGATCTCCTCCATATCATCCTCGCCTCGGACTGGCAAATCGTCGTTCCCCATTTGGATTCCACTAGACGACTTGGACTGGCATGAAGCATGATGTCCTCAAACCGTCTTCTCAGTGTATATCCAATCCAATCCAATCCATCTCCACTCTCTTCTACTGAACATTTGTTGGGTGGTAGCTGCTTAGTTGGTTCGTTGCCAGTTACAGTGAATTCCTTGTTGCTTATTCTTTCTGGTCATCTGAGCTTCAGTAACAAGTCAGCGTAAACGTGTATTTTTCCTTTCCAATATTATCAATGATAACAAGAAATAAAATAAAGATTTTAAAAAAATAAAAACCATCAGAAATTGCTTCGTTTTTATTTAACGCGGTAAAATTAAAAATACCTTCAAGTTAATCATGATTACCTATTTACTTAAATAAAACAAAACTTGAATATACCATTTTGACAGAATAATCAATTTATCAATAATAATTTTATATAAAGCAAAATGGTGTGTTTTAATGAAAACAGTTGAATATTGAAAAAGATGTTGAGAAAAAAAGAAATGAAGAGATATTGTCAACAACTTACTTTAGCTAAATCGACTAGAGTGTTAGCAGAATCTTGAACTTTCCTCTGATCCAATTTCATTCTTCTTAGACTTTGAATTAAAAAGAATAAATATATATAAGAGTTTACGATTTAAATATAGAAACCTGTTCAATGTTAAAGGTTCAAAGGGTTGATTTTACTAAAGTGAAAAAAAAATGAAGGTTATTTCAAATATCCTTTCCTCTTGATAAAATCTATTTTTATCATCAGTTATTTACAATTCACCAATTTTGAAGGAGTTTTTTTTTTCTTCTAAATCTTTTAAGTGTAAAAGCTGATTTTCGGGTGGAATTATGAGTAGTATTTTACACAACAAATAAAAAGTGAAGCAAGTATAATAATTATTTTTTCCCCTTGGGTTCTTAGTAGAATATAGGGCTTCAGTAGCACGTCACTATTTCACTCTCCTCTTTGCAGTCTTATGAACCTTGCTGCACGACTCCTAACAAGCTGTCATTTCTTTCTCACATGATAACCTGCATGTCATCCTTGCCTCGGACTTCCAACTCATCGTTTCCCATTTGGATTCAACTCGAGGGCCTGACCTGGCGTGTGATGCCTCCCCCCTTGGTCTTCTCACTGTATTCCCAATCCAATCCATCTCCACTCTCTTCTACGAAACATTTGTTGGGTGATAGCTTCTTAGTTGGTTCATTGCCAGCCACAGTGAATTCCTTGTTGCTTATTCTTATTCTTTCTGGCCATCTCTGTGATCTTCAATGTCAGTATCGAGTGAGCGTAGGTGGCAGCTGAATGTCTGTAGTTTGAAATTTCAAGAAAATTGTCTAGTTGATAATTTATGTAGGAAATACGTGTTCGTTGGACAGAAATTGTCAAATGTTTTGACTACAGAATGATTTTATGTTATAATCTCAGTGATGCTTAATTTATTGATAAAATTTTACCAAAAAGATTAAATAAACTTGACTTAATTTACTAGATTCGGTTAATAAAATCATGTTAGAAGTGCAGTTATGCTTGACCTCGACAGTCTTCAAGTTTCAGGGAAAGATATTTAGACAAACAGAAGGAGTAGCAATGGGATCACCAATATCCCCTATAGTAGCAGATATATTTATGGATAGTTGGGAAGATATGGCTTTACGAACATATAATCCGACACCTAAGATATGGTGGCGATATGTAGATGACACATTTACAGTGTTGAAATCGGAACATATCGACAGTTTGTTGACACACATAAACTCAGTAGTTAACGCAATCCAATTCACCTACGAAGTAGAAAATGAACAAGGAGAATTACCTATGTTGGATTGCAGAATAAAACGAAGGATAGATGGTGGTTTAGATACTACCGTCTACAGAAAACCAACACATTCTAACAGGTAGGTATCTAGACTTCAAGTCATCTCATCCAGTGTCAGTTAAAGCGGGTTTAGTCAAATGTCTAAATAACAGAGCTGAGAAACTCACTAGTCATTGTAAGGACTTAAATAAGGAATTGAAACACATAAAAGAAGCGTTAATAACTAATAATTATCCCCATCATTTTATTAAGAAATTCACACGGACGCATAAGAAGCAAAATAATAACACTAATACAAATACAAATAATAGTGACAACATAAGTAGAAAGGAAATCAACACCTCTATTGTGATACCATACAAGGAAGGAACATCAGAAACCATACGTAGGATTCTCAACAAGGTTGGAATTAGGGTGGCATTTAAACCAACAAACTCACTTAGAGGTAAGCTTTGTCGGCTAAAAGATCCGATAGAACCAATTAAGCAAAATAATATAATCTACCAAATTCCATGTAATGACTGTGAGGTCAAATACATAGGTCAAACTAGCCGGTCGGGGTCAGTTAGATTAACAGAACATAGGAATTTAGCTAAACATAGAACGACAGACCCCAATAAGATCAATAACCTAGAAAAACACTCAGCCATTGCATTACATTCATTAACACACAACCACACAATAGGATGGGACAAAACCACTGTACTTAAGTCTAATATAGCTAGGTGGAGAGAGAGATTAATTACTGAATCTTTGTTCATCGAATCCACACCCAACACATGTAATAGGAATGACGCAACACCTATACCAGAGATATGGAAAACTTTACTACCAATCAAAAAACAAAGAGAGATCAGGTGACAGGACTATAAAATCAGATGTCGAAAGAAGTGTGATTACATTGATATGATTATGAGCAATAATTTATGCTCGAAACGTAATCAATTAAATAATACTGTATCACTGTGCGCTTTATATCAAATAAACAAATCTAATATGGAATTACATTCTACCACAGTGCCGAAGTTTTTCACTTATAAACTTGATTTAAGCAGATTAAATTCAAAGATCTAGTAACCACAGATGTCTAGGATGAAAACATGCAGACTATCTACTCATTAAATTATGTTTTACATCCATTCTGAGCTTTGCATACTCTAAAGGTTAGGAAAACGAATGTCCTCAATCTTCCTTTTTTACCGTAAAATTTCTCATCATGACTGTACATTCATACAAATTAACATAGCACCAGGGATTACTGCGTAATGGTCCAACTTGCCACACCTCATACAAGTATATCAAGTAAAAAGGCAGTGAAGTAGAAGATGAAGAAAACAAAATTCAGTCAGAAGAAATGTAAAGTGCTGAAAGAGAGTAAGGAAGAGTGAGAAAACAGTGATACTCGGTATGGTTTTAAGATGACGATAATGTGTGTATACATCTGCACCACTGACATCGGTTCTGAGCCATGTCACCTAGAGTCTTCAACCACTGGTTTCTCTTGTCCCATGGACTCCAACCAACTAGTCTGTATCGCCGTACATGGCTTAAATCAACAGTCGAAGACTTCATACATTGGTGCCATGTTTTGATCTAACCACCTCGAGCCTTTTCCCAGTCTAAATCTACTTCGGTCAACATTGTGTGACGAAGCAGACGATGACTAGGCATACGTAACACGTGTCCCAAATATCTCAGTCGTTGAAGGTTTACAACCGCGTCAAGTGACATCTCTTCTCCCTAAAACTCGACACACTCAACCACTTCACTGTCGATTGTCGGCCGAGACACCATTGAAGACCAATCCTGGAGCAATAATTTGCATTTGGGTGATGAGAAACACATCCCAAACATTTCAAATTGCCAGTGAAAGTTTCCAGAAGACTCTGTATCTTATCAGCGTCTTTACCTAGCGGGAATATGTTATCTGCGTATTCCAGGTCTAATGAAAATTCTCCCGCGATTAGGTCAACCTCTGTGTTGTCAGGTGACAAGAGGAAGACCTCCATAAGAATATCTGTGATAAGATTGAATAAGAATGGAGAGAGTGGGAAGTCTTAACGGACATCACTTGACGAGCAAAGCTTTCTGGACGTTTCACCATAGGCTCTGATACGCTCACAGGTGTTCGAGTAGAGAGCCTTCAATAAGGCGATGTACTTACTCAGGACCCCTTTCAGTGAGAGACGTAGCCATAAGACTTCTCGATCAACGGAGTCGAATGCCGCCTTCAAATAGAGAAATACTGCTATTGTCAAGTGTCGGTAAGCATGCCTGTGTTCCAGAACCTGGTGCAGTGTGAATATTTTGTGGATACATCCACGGCCGGGTCTAAAACCTGCCTGCCTGGTTTTCTCGGGCTTGTTGTTCCCTAATGTACACAAGCTGTATAAATTGAAGCAAGTATAGGCGTGTGACTGTCACTTATTTCATTCTCAGCCAGGTATAGAGTAAGAAGGGTAGGCTTGGTATTCTTGAAGAATCGTAGTATACAACGAAACACTTGAAATGAAAAGTAGTGGTAAGAGTTTTATTCGAAAGAAAGCTCTTAATGACCACAGTAAATTCATAAACTACCTATACATATTGATATTTGTATTTTGAATAGAGGCGGAATAGGACAAGTTAATAAGATACCATTTTTAATAAAGACACAACTAAATTTAATAGTTTTGAGAGAGTAAAATGAACACCATCCAAATAAGTAGTACGGCAAATTATACTTATAAGAATTTATATTAGTAGTATATATAGTAACGTTGGAAAACGCGAGAAGTGATAAGCCTCCCATGGTAGAGATTCTTGAGTAAAGGCAGAATATTGAATACTGCCCACTATCGTGCCAAAAAGGAGAATATTTACTAATGTGACTTTATTATTAGGTTAACTATTACTACCTATCTCTGCTGATCCATTGTACTTCACTTTCATTTTACGTCAGCAGTTAACAATTTGACCTGAGTATACGATGTATCCTCAAAATCTTAACCCTTGAAGTGCACTCTGTTCAACCTCACAGATAATCATAAGTTCACATCGGAACGACGTAACTCCTGTCAATCAATGAGAAATCTTTAATCATCTGCATCAGCAATGGAGTAAACTTCAATGGAATCGGCGAAACCATTGATTGAAAAATGACAATTACTAGGCCATTGGGGTCAAGTGGACAACGCTTTGGAGTTTGAAGTGATGGGTACTTGTTTCGAGTCCCAGTGGGAACAACACAACTCACTGGGGTGCAGATATACCCAGATAACAAGCTAGAAATAGGATGACTCCCCTGCTAGTCACCAAGATGAATATAACATCGGGAATATCCGATAGTATCGAAGCATTCACACAGGAGTCCATATATCAACGTAGGTCAAGCGATTCGGCTCATTCTAGTAACGGGAACTGGCAAGTATCATAACAATTACGATCTTTATTCATACAAATATTGAAGATTACCAGTACAGTCATGTTAGCTAACATTCTACGTGTTTGAGATCCCAGTGTACAGTGTCATTTTTCTCTACATTGATACTCATTATTCTGTCTTCTTCCTATCAGAATCTCCACCAGGTGATCATTATCGTCTATCGAGTTTTCCGGCATTAGTATATATACTACTAATGAGCATACTTATAAGTGATGCTTACCACAGGATATTTTATTAGTAAACTGCAGATGAAAATGATATAATTATGAATACTTTCAGGGATTTGGGCACACCTTCAGCCGGCTGCAATAGTGAATCACTTAGCTTCGTGAGAGAACCATGGAATTCATCAGCAGTA